CCTGGCACTGATGGTCCTGCAAAATCACAGCCTCTTGGGGCTTTCTGGATCAGACCTTGGTTGTGAGCTCCCACCTCTGGAAAGCTGGACTATTTTTTTTTTTTTTTCCTCAGATGCCCTTAAGGTCCCAGAACAGTTTCTCAGCACCCAGCTGCTTAGTACGCAATTGAGTGCTAAATTTTTAGTTCAGTTTAGGGTTATGCTCATTTATAGGGCTTGTCTAGGTGCAATTACATATATCCCTCATCAGTTAATTGTGGACCCTTACTCCAGAAAATGAATACTTCAAAGCGTGTCTACCATGGCATGATGAAGAGCCAGCAGAGATGCCTCCATGGATTTGGGTTGCTCGAGAAGCCAAAGAGCTGCTCTCTCACCCAGCAGAGCCATGAGCCAACGCCCAGGACTCTCAAAAGGCAGCCGTGGGGTCAGATACACGGTGAAATCCCAGGGGGTTCAGGAATGCAAACCTTAATTTTTCACAAGCCACAATGTGGTAGGAGGACGAGGCTTCTTGCCTCTGGGTGGAAGAGACGGTGTTAGGGAAACCTGCCAGCTCGCTCCTGTTGCAGCCCCGGCATCGTAGCGGCAGTCGGGTCTTGCTGTAGCCCAAGCTGTCCTACGGTCTTGTCTCCTGGCTGCTCCTACCTGCAGCTTTGTCTGGGAGAGACCTTCATGCTCTCCCCTTGCCTTGACATCCTAAAAGCAGGACCTGCTCTCAGGTGCACCCCTGCGCTGCAAGGCAGCAGTGCCACCTCGGGGCACTTCCCAGAATTGGGAAACCTGCAAAGATATGGGTCAGCGTTCACATTTTTGCGCTCCTACAAGTGACATTGGGTTTATGCTACCAGGAGAGCTTTCCAAAACTTGCAGCTGCCTGCTGTGCTTTGCCCAGCTTATTAATCACGCTGCTTTAGGAACTCTGTTCAAGCCAAAATACCTCCGCCAGCACCCCGGCTGCCATGTGGTGTCAGCTGGTGAGGACTTGTGTTGTCTTGGTTTCCCCAAGAGTCTGAGTCTGCTTTTTGGTGAAGCGCACAGCTGCACACAGCTGCGCTCCTTCCTTCGCCTGGCTTAGCTCTGAGAACGGGGACCCTGTGGCTGCTTCGGTTATTTAATACGTTGCACTTAAACCACTCTTGATACCTTCCCTTGATTGCTGCTCGGAAAGGCAGCAGCTGCCGTCATGAATAAAATCTCTGTTACCAGCAGCAAGGGCAAATATTTTATTTGGAGTTTAGAAGGCAAGTGGCTGCGAGCGCTGGCTTACGCTCTGTCTAAGGCTGCCACTAAGGTCAAGGTTTTCCTTTTATAGGTGTTCCCAGGTATTCTGCGTGGGGCTAGTACCGCTACTTGACAGCAAACCAGCACCACACCTGAGTAATACAGCCCAAAATAACCACAATCATGAATCTCTGTTAAAGCCCCCTTCTGTTACGAGCCCTCTTCTGCATTACACTGATACAGACTGCTATACGAACAGCAAAGCGCGTGCTTTTCCTTTTGGATGCCATCGATAAGCACCCAGAAGGCTGGACCAAGCAGTTTTTTTCTTCCCCAGAGCCAGGTATTTCCCTTGCTCCTTACCAGCCCACCGGCAGAGACACGATGGGCAGCGCTACACAATCCTCACCAAACATCCCCCCTGCAGCTCCGGAGGAACTCCAGAGGCATGAATTCTACTACTTAAAGCTGCTTTTTCTCCTTTTGGAAGTAGCAGCATCAAGACAGTCAGGGAAAGCTCAGAGCCTTTTCCTATGCTGAAGCTCTGTTGGGCCTCTTCGACAGCAGACATCAGACATTTCATTTGTGCGCACTTAGATGAGCAAGGGCTGCGCAAAACCCGTGCTGACTGAACGCCTACTGTCCAGCCTTCACTCACCTCATCCAAGCTGTGTCAAGCCTCAGGAGCATGGTCTTGATAAGATACCACGGTGCTTACAGAAGGAAAATTTTCCCAAACTTCAGTAAGAACATTGCCTGCGACCAGTTCTAGCCGAGGGCAGAAGCCACCGCGACTTCCAGTAGCAGTATCTGGCACAAACTGCTCGGACAGTTTCTCATCTGGCACTTTCCAGCTGGGACCAGGGTGAAGACGATGGCTTCTGGTCAGCTGCATTCGCTGGGCAGCTGCACAGACACATACATTCAAACAGGAAAACTTGCTGTATTTCTTTTTATTGTAATAGAAAAAAACCACAAATAAATCAAAACATCACTTTCTGCCTAAAGACGTAATTAACATTTTTAAAATGGCACGGGGGAACCCCAGCAATGCAAGACAGAGTAGTAAGTGTGGGGAAAAGGGTTCTGTTCCCCTTCAGGAGTTCAGTTTCCTTGCCCCTTTGTCAATCAGCTGGCTGAAGTTTGTCAGCTATATATATTTACATACACTTCTCAGTCTAGTTTATATTCCTATGAGTAGGTATGGCTGGGTGGAATGTTAGGGGGCACAGTCCTGCAATTTATACATAACCATCTTTGGAGAAAATGGGTTTCCTAAGAGGCCTACAGGGAACAGGGGTCTCGTTACCCAGTAAGACCAAGCAAACAGGATTCCCTCCTACAGTTCTTTTGCCACGAAACACAGAGTAGGTCCCAAGCCCAGGAGACCCCCTAGGAGCTCCTTGGCTATTGCAAACAGTGTATGGCAGAGTGAAATTTTACCCAGTGACCTTAAAGTAGCAGCATTCTCTCTGCAAAGGGGCTGCTCAGGAGGGGAAAAGGCAGATTGCAAAATGCATGGGGTGAACATCTTCCTTTTCTCTCCTGCCTCCTGAGAGGATGTTAAAAAGTCCTGAAGTAGGTAGCCAAGCAGAAACCAGGCTCAGAACCCTCTAAAGTGGTGGATGTAGAGGGGATATCCTCATTGTGCAAGAGCGGGCGTCAGAAACCGCAGCACCAGTACTCCCACAACAGGCAGCTGCACCTGAAGCGACAGTTTGCTGAAAGACAAGCAACCACAGCCATGCTGCTTGCAGGTACCAAACTAGCACACCTCAACATGGGGCTGCCCTGTATCAGCTTGAGTATACCTGTTCAGCTGAGGAAGCTTCAAGACCCCTAATATGCTACAGCATTTTGTGGCAGAGTCACGTGTGTATTAAGATGAGAGGCTGGTTACTCTTCACACAATGGGTATGGGAAAAGACTGGAGAGGGTACACGTACTGAGCAGGAAAATGAAGCTATGGCTTCACAGAAAACAAACACTTACCAATCCTTCCTCCAGGAGCACCAAAAGGCATTCATAAATGACTTATTATAGAATGCTTTCTGCATTTTGATGGATATTTTGATGAGGAAAGATTGAAAGCTTTTGTATAAACTGATCTGTGCTAACTGCTACAGCTGTCTCCAAGTCCAGTCCAATGAATGAAATGCTTAAGGAGACGTTGATGGCACAAGCAGAGAATGACAAGGGGAAAAAAAAAAATCTGGGCTGCAAGGGCCACTGCTGTGCACTGAGAGCAGGTACACACAAAACTGCAAAATGGCCTGACAGTACCCTGTTCCCGCTTGTGTTAGGGACTCTACGAGATGCAGGGCAACAGAGTATTTGACAGAGTGACTAAACTGCAGTTTTCCTCCATTCCATCCCCTCAAAAATAAGAACCATTACAGTCCTCACTGAGTAACAACGTGAGAAACTTATCAAACTGTGTTATTCTGGGAGAAAGCCCAGCAGAGGAAAGACATCTCCTTTAGGTATGCAGGAAGTTTCCAGCGCAGGAAGTTTGAGATGCAGGACTGAAATTGCAGCAACACCTTTCACAACAAAGCACTGGACAAAGGGCTATACATTTGCATAGATGCTTTTTCAGCAGCATCCGGGATGTGCGATCCCCATTTATGGAGCATCAGCAATGTTTTGGGGTTTGTCCAATGTCTTTCTTGTGTTTCTTCCTAAATGTAACTGCTACAAAATTGTTCGGGAAAATAGTGTACATGCATGCATGAAAAGAAATCAGTGTGCCTATTCTTTCACTCCCCTGATCTTTTTCCACTGCAAATAATTGCAAAGCTATAGGAATCTTAAACTAGAAGATGCAATATTGATACAATCTAATGTCAATCTAAGGACAGGACTGCTGCTGCACGTATCCCAGTAAACTCAATTGTTCCACAGAAAAGCTTAATTTTACTATTCCTCATTTTCTTTACATTTGGGGAGACCTACCACCTATTTCTCTTACGCTCCAGCAGAGCCCTCCCTGTGATGTGCTTGACTGCTTTGGAAAGGACAGCAATATCAAAGTTGGAACTCCTACTGTAACTGCAACTAGGTACTGAAGGCAGAATTGGTCCACCTTTTATCATCGTGCAGTTGCCATGCTATTCCTGCCTTGCTGTACTGTAACTCTGGCTTGGTAAGAAAAAAAAAAAACAACCCAAAACCCAAACCACAGCTCTTATGCAAACGTAAACAATTAACAAGGTTCTGTCTATCTGCTGATAAGCTTACATGCGAGAAAAGGAAACATTTCACTTCATTGTACTGTCACCTGAAATTTGTTTCCACCACTTCTGCTCATGCAATTCTGTTCTTTCAGCTGGTTCTTTCCCATAACTCTTGGATCTAGCATTACGAGGCTCTTGGCAACCTTTGGTTCCAGCCTCCCTTCCACACACAGCTAGGCCCATTGAAAATTTTTAACTTCTGAGTGCGACACTGACACACTGTTCAGCTTGATCACCTTTCCCACACAGCTGTGCCACTGCAAATATTCTGATCAGATGAGTTCAGCTTTTCCCCTGAGCAAATAACATAATGTCAATGAAATATGCAGAAGACTAATCCCGGGACACCTTCACTTCCATAGCCCCATAATATAGGCAGTGACAGGAGAAAGAGATGCAAGCCTGTAGGGGATGGCTAGGACATCCCCTTATTTACTCCCAATTGTGTAAAGGACCCTTGAATGCTCATGGAATGAATTCCCACTTACCAGCACCAGAGTTACTTAGAAAGTGTCAGCCTATGTGGACAAGACAGCCTTTATAAATTAGTATAATACTATTAGAAATTATGGCAATCTTTTTGGTAGCATTGTCTTACATGCACCCTGATAAATCCTCTCCCTAGGAAATTTTAAAACTTGTCTTATAACTTCCGTAGAGTTAATTCTGATGGGAAATTATAAAATAGAAATCTGGTAGATTCATGTTTAAAAAGGAAGAGGCCTGGTGACGCTGGGCACGCTGGGTCACTCCTGTTAGCTCTGTCCATTATGTCTGCTGAAGGTATTTCCTCCGGGTGGCTGGATCTGGATGGAGTCGAGGAGGGGCCTTAGAGCTTGTCCAAAAGGTCTGAGAAGGTAAAGAAATAAACATCTCAAATAGCTTACTTGATAAACAGCCTTTCCCACTTACTACTGAAGTGCACTTGGTTCCTAGAGTGCAATCAAACCCACATTGTAGAAGCAAATTTGAAGAACAGGCTTCCACTACCAACTAAAGCAAACTAATTTAACCTATTAAAGAGTTTACTGTTCAGTAACTAAGAACCTTAAACATGATTTTATATAAGCTAGTTCCGAGTCCTAACATGCCCAGACTACTAATGTGGCAATACTGTGTCTGAAACTGGCTTTTAGTAATTCATTCTACTTAAGTGTGCGAACGAAATCCCTGTTATGCAACTGCAGTGCTCCATTAAGTACCACATCGATATTAAAGGCTGCTAGAAGAATAGCCTCTGGCTCTCTTATGAGACAATGGTTCAACACTCACAGAATAATTTCTGTTGCAATCTGTAGCACCTGGTTTATCTTTCAACATGACTCACTCTGTTATAGACTTCATCTGACTGTGAGAGATCCAAAGCGATAAGAGCCCAGGGTAGAAGACATGTGTCTCAAATAAAGTGGTATACTATTGTTAGGAGAAATAAGACCTAAATGATGGAGCTCAAATCATCCCACTGGGATCCTCACTAGCTGAGTTACAAAAAAACCCACCCCACCACCCAAAAAACCCTCCCCTTGAGCTGAACTACCAGGTAGGAATTCTGCATTGCCTCTTTTTCATATCCTCTTTTTCCATCCAGTCATAGCTCTAAAATGGCAATGTTAATTTTAAAATTACATCCCCCCTGCCTCTTCACAAGCAAAGCTGACGTCTCCACTGCAATTACAGTGCTTAGAGTAAGAGAAGTGACCTTTAACAGATACTGGCTTCGTAAGACAAAAAAAACTTGCATAATTTTCTGAAATTTTCTATTCTTGCCCGGTCACTTATGAGAGACCATCAAAAAATAACTAGTTTAAGTTAAAGGCAGAAGAACAACCTTTTCCCGTCTTCTCAGTAATGCCAGTGCCAGTCAGCACTTGTCATGCAGTGTTGTAAGTGTTGAAGTAAGGCAAACAGCATCCTCTCCTCAATCATATGCTGGTTCTCAGAGAGAGCCAGCAGAAACTGGTACCGCTGGCTCTGTCAAATGTTTAAGCTTTAGCATGGAACAGTACACTACAGAGAGGAGCAGCATGCGCACTCACGTGGCAAGAACTTCAGCTGGAAGGTCAGTGATGTAGGAAGGGATTTTTCTTCCTGTCAGGAACTGGGCCACTTCATTACTGAAGGTGTTGCAGTTATGTTCAAAGAGGTTATAAGACTCTCCTCTGTGCCACAGGAAAGGAATTGAAACATAGAAAGACAGACTCAGCAATAAATCTTACAAGCAGAAAAACTAAGAGCCCTAATGAGGAACATCTCCTTACATTAGCGCTTTTTTCCCCACAAAGAATTCTAAGGCAAATAGGTAAAATACAGACATAATTGACCTTCAAATTCAATTGAATCAGGGTGGAAAACGACATCTCTCTGTATCACTGACTTTATACCGTGGTTTTTTGGAGGATAAGCGACCTCAGGTTTCTTCAATTAAAACCACAGAAGGAATAATGAGAAATCACAGGAATTATGGACAATAAAATATAGGCAGAACACTAAATGCTACTGTTTCCCACTCTTGTGAGAAGCAGACTAGACTCTTTAACAGTCAAGACCTTGCTTTTACTCATCTGAAAGTTGGCAGCTTTACTACAACGCTTCACCTATGACTCATGGGGCAAAGCACTATTTACTGAAATATTTCATATAGTGCTTTCATTTTCCCTGGTGATTCTCTCAAGGGCATTTCAGGCATTATTCCATTTTACAAAAAACAGTGTGAAAGACTTCCTGGCAGAATGCTTTCTCAGCCTAGCTCAAGGCTGGCACAGCAGAGGGTTGTCTAGCTGGTAGCGCCTTGTGTATTGGTGCATCAGTTCCAGTCTTGTATTGGGAGAGTACCAAATAATACACTAAGCAGACAAAGCTTTGTGAACAGGACTGGCTTTATAATACCTTCCTCCATTCTGCACCCCTTCCCCTAAAGGCTTTTTTTTGTTATACAGATTTTACAGTACAAGCTGCTACTTACCGGAACATAGATTCCCCCAAAGAGGAAAGATATTCCAGAAAAATTTCTTCCGTGACTTCAGTGTTCCCCAGGTCAACAACTGAGTCTGGGGGGCCAAGAAGTGTCCCTCCCTGTAAAAATTAACAGCCAGAAGACAATGTTAAACAGACAGACTGAATTCTTTTGGAGGACTCTACTGAACAGAGCTATCGTGGCTTGTCTAGGCACAAAAGGAGGAACTTTTGGTATGTTCGTCAAGCAAGAAGCCCTATTGGCCTCCCCTGTTCTGCACTCAGAGGATGAGAAGTAACATGCATCTTCCATTTCAGCTTGTATACTTCGCTCTTTGTGCTGAAAGCTCTAAGCTATGGCAAAAGCTATGGATAAAGTCTACCAGCAGAAGCAACCTGTATTTAGTTGGGCTTAAACCCACTGACCATGCTCCCTTTTCCTCAGATGCCCTGGGGTAACTACGGCAAGCAGCCACATCTGGGAGCCTCTTGCTGCTTTTCTAAAAGACAATGACACAAGCAATTCTGATCAGGTAACTCTATTACAAAATTATTAGAAAAATAAGTTTAACTTACAGGTGCACAGCTGGAGATTCCTCCGCTGCCATAGAAGAACTCATCCTTATGGACTATTATGGAGGTGTGCCTGCCACAAAGAACAAAAAACAGGTGAAACAAAGGAAATATTTAACCTACCGTATAAAATTATGTGCTCAAGGACAACATGAGGTGAATAACTGAAAAAAAAGTCAATGTGTTTCTGTGAGTAGGAACAGGATCTGCTGAGACATGAATGGATATGGAAGCAATGATTATTGAACCTACTGTAACTCTCTAAGTGGTTGGTAAAGAACAGGCTTAGCTAGGTGCCCAAGCATGAAGGAACAGAGGAAGAGAGGGACTTCCACACCAGCATGAGATCCCCAGCAGCCTCTTTCAGCTGAAGGTGAAGTCACAGAGATGGAGAGACAGAGCTAGTCCTGCTACCACATTGACAGAAGTGTACGTCTGATACACACTGACTGAAAAGAAGGTCAGTCACTGCAGATGGATCAATAGAGAGGAAAACGGATGGACAATGGTTTGGGGTTTTTTTTGCCTCCCTTTTTTTTTTTTAACTCTTAATATGAATTATATCAAATTGAGGGGTGTTTTGTAACCAAATGTAGCCACCGCTCTTACGTGCCAGAAGGCCTGATTCCGTAATACCTTCTTCCCACCTACTCTTTTACTCTCATGTTTAGTCATGCCTGCAATTAGAAGACAAAGTGCTTGGGACAAGGACAATATCCTACCCTTGAAAAAGTGTAAAAGTGTACTAAACCACAACTAATACCAATGCTTTTTTTCATGGGGTCCACTAAGCTTTGAATGGAGAATTTTAACCAGCACCCGACTGTACATCAACTTACTGCCAATCTGTATTCAGGAACAAAAAGTGCCTTGGTCTCTCTTCAGCACCAAAATGTTCTTAAGATCTGAAGCGTATATAATCTCATATTGAAAATACTTCCTACACCACACAGTGTTTAACACACAATATGCAATTTAAATCTAGTCACTTACCAGATGCCATCCAGCTGTTTCCCTGTATGCAGAGAAAAGAAGAGTTATTAGCAATGTATTCTCCAGATGTCAGTCTACTTTCTGTCAGTCACTTAGGAACCATGCTTATTATTTCACCGTGACAGCAATACCAAAGATTTCACCCCAGAGTTGCTTCTAAAGAAACAGAAAGTCTTTCTTACAAATTAACTACTCTGTCCACACTACTGCTGTACTTTTTTCCTCCTGCACGCAGAGGTAGCCAATTCCTTGGACTTTTGTCTACAGACCAAGAAAAGAAACCTCTTCCTAAAATTAGAGTCTTCAATCAGAACCAGAAGATTTGAATTTTACACTGATTTCATAATTGCAGGCAGTTAGCCAGCACAGAGCATTCAGTTTTCTTTTTCAGTAGCTGATGAGAGAACCGACTTGAACATATGATGTGTGGTGATAGTCTTTATACTATTCCATGTTTTCCTCCTTTCCCTCCCTCTTCCTGCCCTTAGAAATTAACAGCTGGGAGCTGGGGGGGCAAAAGTACAGGGTTGAAATTCATGCAAAGTGATAAAATTGTGTGTTTTGTAGAACACAGCAGCAAAGACTTGCTTCAGGCACCACTAAACTGATAATATCATTGTGTCTTAGAGAAAAAGTCCCTTCTGAAATGTTTTTTCCAGTTCCCTGGAAGTGGGAAACCTAAACCCCTCTGTGTTCATGCTAAGATCTCAAGATCAAACCTCTCTTCAAAGGGTCGCCATCTGTTACTGCTCTAGGCTCACTTATTTTATCTATCGTAACCTAAATGCTTGGTCCCTGGTATCGTACCCCTTTGTAAACTTGTAGGCAGCAACAGCATGCTATGACAGATGTGCTATAACTTTATTTTGCCAAACAAGGTGCACAACTGCCAGAAAAGTGGGTTTAGAACAGAAAAACTGCATGCATACCAACATTTGGTATTCCCCTGAACCCAAGCAGTAAACTGTGTGCTCCTCTGCTGTAGCTTCTGCTTGCTTGCAGCAAGCTCCTGATCCTTTTAGTCAGACTCCATGTATAAGCACTCTCCCCCAGCAGACCACTTCCCACACCACTATCCTTTATATCCAAGCAGCACCTCTTCCAAGATGTTTTGTTGTTATTGTTCAACTTTTAGATGCCAGAATGTGATGTGATGATCTGCTGAAGTAATCTGCAGGTTTCCTAGAGCTAGATAAAAAACACCGTAGACATGATAGAAAAAAAAGCCACCTGACCATGAGAGGCACTGTTCTATTAAAAATTTGTTCAGAAAGCACTGATGGGTTAACTTTTGACCAACAGGCTTTGCTCTGGTTTGGAGCAAACCATCTGTTTGCACCACACCAGCCTCAGGCCTCCCAAAGCTAGTCGCAGACCTTCTTGCTTCCCAAATTCTGGGCCGTTATGTCTAGAAATTATCATCCTCTTTCAAACACAGCCTCAGAGCTGTGGTCTTTTTTTTTAATGTTTTATTCAAATGCTTGTGACATTCAGGATTTTCTCAGCTACCTTGAGGGCCACTGCCTTAACTGACCTTAACTCAGGATTTGGCAGCATCCCTTATCACACTGTCAGCCTTGCCTCTCCCTATCAACTATTCCACCAGCTGCCCTGCTTGTATTCCCACAGCTTATGATGCGGAAAGTGCACTGTGACTGCTTTTCAAAGGCTGGAATCAGATGCTCAGAATAACAATAAATTATTCCACTTATTAAAAAGAAGTTAGGTACAAAAGAAGCTTGGCTCAGATGCATTCCTCTGCTCCTCCTCCACGATTCCCAAGAGGAAGCAGAATGTTATACACTGAGCCCTGCTTAGTGGATCAGGGCCTAAAGCTAAAAGGTAGTTTGACAGGGCAATATTTAATCCCTCAGCCTCCAGGATGCTGGCTTCTCTGCTGAAACTTTAGGGGGTCACTCTTCTTCCGTTGGTGTCCAGCTTCTTCTAAGATACCTGGTGCAACAGCAGTGATAGGGTACATTTTCCCAGTCCCACTTGCCCTGTGGAAAGAGATTTCCACAGTGTCCTTACTTAGATCAGTGCCGTGGCATCAATGACCTACAGGGAGGCAGAGGCATTGCCTTTCCTTTTCTATAGGCAGAGGGTCTTGGGATATTTATCCCCACCTAGTCCTCTGTCAGGGCTGCTTTGGTCTCTGAGTGCCAGGAGTGAATATGCTACTTTGAAGCAGCAGTAGTTCTTCATGAGTGGTTTCTCTCGCGGGAAGAAAACCAGCTTTCTGTCATCATCAGGACTGGGTAAAACGGAAGAACAAAACTGGTGAGGATAATCCTTCAAGAGTTCTGAGAAAAGCATGTTTATGGGTCCGAGTAAGGCATAAACAAAAACTACCATATTTTTCCCAGCTCAAGTCTGAAGCAAAATAGGCACAGAGATAGATACCTACTTCAGACGAGGGTCATATAAGAGCGGAGGCAGGGAAAAGGCTGTTGTGACAATAGAGACATCAGTTGAAGCGAACGCGCACAGTCTTGAAGTAGGTGGACTGATCTGTCACTACCATGGATCACAGCCAGGCAGCAAGCATATTCACTGTCAACCCATCGCACAGAAATGTAGGCATGGAGTAGGATGAAGGCCAAAAGATAGTAGCAACGATGAGAGAAGCAGAGCAGCGTGTTGCAACATCTCAGGAGCATTTGCTGTCCCCTTGGCGTGTCCCACGCTGTTGTGCTCCTTGATCCTCTGGCCCTTGTTCCACACCTTCCCCATCAGAGCTTTTGCCTTGTGCTCTAGAGCTGCCAGAAACCAGCAACACTGCAGGCTCATCAGCGAGACATGAGGTAAGGTACAGTGCACTGCCCTAACTTTAGCAGCGGGCCTACAACAGGGTCTACTGCTCGGCTTTGCATAGTGTTCTGCATATCTTTTAATAAATTATTACACACTTGTTCAGAATAAATCACTGTTTTCCCCTAGAAACTTGAATTTTACCCTTCAGGGCAGAGAAACAAACCATTTTAAAGGCAGCACATACTAGAATTGTCTGCCCTTTTGCATGCTAAATGGAAAAAGGACATTAATATTTACTTTCACACACATTTAAAGCAAACGACGATGAAAGGCTTTCCACAAAGTTGCCACTTTGCACCTACATTCTGTGTGCAGGTGAAAGAGTTATAGCAGATGCTGATAATGTCAGAAGTGCTGCCAGGAACATCCTCGTGCAATTACACCACCTGCTTGAAAAGATCATTGCAGCAAAGGCTACCACACATTGGGCTGCTCTAGCAAGACTGCAGCCAGCAGACTTTTGGATCCCCCCAGTACAAAAGACACAGACATACTGGGCTGGAGTGCTTGCTGTATTGAAAAGCGGCTGAGATAACTGGTCTGTTCAGCCTTAAGAAGAGAAGGCCAAGAGTCCTTATTGCCATCGACAACTACCTAAAGGGTATGGAGGAAAGGGAGCCTTGTTCTGCTCAGAGTTGCACAGTGAAAGGCAACAGGTAGGTGCTAGCTGGAAAATGGGAAATTCCCAGTGCAGTAAGAGGGAAAAAAAAATTACCGTGAAGGTGGTGAAACACTGGGGCAGGGGGTCCAGAAAGTACGTGGGATTTCCATCCTTGGAGATGCTCAGGGTCAGTAAAGAATCTGCTCTCACTGGATCTACCTTGAGCAGGACCTCCAGAGGTCCCTTTCCACCTACGCAGTTCTCTGACTGTATGAACAAAACCCAAATAGAATTCAGGTAGGGGACTTTGCATTAGACTGCAGTCCAACCCTGGGGGGCTCCTCTCTGGCTGCTACACATGAAATCCATACCCAACAAGAAGCAGCAACTGCTAGGGCAATAACAGAACAGCTCTTGGCAAGTGGAGCTGCCTGTCTTCATAAGGCAGATCTGCCTGAGGCTGCTCAGCTAGGTCAGTTTGTGCCAAGCACTGGTTTGATGATTTTAATGGAGCTGCTGACCTGCTATTTTTGCTTGGCTCCTGTAAGACATTAACCAGGCTGGAATTGTGGAAAACACACACCAGATCTGCAGCACTGATGACAATAAGGCATCCACGGCAGCTCTCCAGCCTGCTGCAGACAAAATAAAATCCCTTTCTGCCACTGGTCAGCTGTGCTTGGTCAGAGACAGTGCAAGTCTCCCCAATGACAACACCATTGGGGAATCCCATACCTAAGAAACCTGACATTATTGGCCACATACGCGTCACCCAGAGACATCCAAGATCAAGACCTTTTGGTACGCTGCTGCAGTTTCCCATGCTGCACAGCTGCCTGTTGTCATCTCAACTCCAAACTGACTGACAGAGGAGTAAGTCAATGGCACCCAGCTTCTGAGGAACTTGGGCAGCTTCCTTTCCTGCTCCTCAGCAAGGCTCTCAATGCTGTTTGTCTGTTGCATCATGTAAGAGCTTCTGTACAGACCTTCATGGACACCATCATCTTCCTCGTGAAGTTTTGCCTCTGTTGGTGATCCTCCTATATGACTCTTCTTGCCCTTCTCTCAAACTCAGACATTGCACAGAATAGGTGACAGCTCACAACCACTGCCAGTCCTGACAAGCTCGTGTAAAGCAATCAGGGCAGCCTGCACCAAGGAGTTATGTCTTGCCTTCTGATGGACATTGTCACCTATATACAAAATACGTTGCTTGCAGCCTCTGAAGGCTTGATGCACATACCAGCCCCAAAAGTATGACCAAGCAAGGATCTGCACTGCTCTGTTTCCACAGCCAGCTGCCCAAGTGAGAGCATCCAGAAGAAGAAATACCATCTGGGATACTGGCAGACATCATCGCGTTTCATGCTCTTCCTCTCCTTGCCACAACACTCCAAACACCCGTGGCATGCTGCAGTGTGGGGAGAACTATACGCTGGTGGTGCCACCAAAATCAACACATCTACTCATAACCTGAGGCTGCCTATAACTGTATAGAGAAGTTTGATTCCCCAGGAAATTCCACTTGAGCTGTAAAAGCCTTTAAATTGCAGGTATTACCCTTCGCTCAATACCTACAGGAAAGCTAGTCCAAATGATGCACATGCATATAATTCAGAACAGGAAAGTCCTGATGGCATGAAACTTTTTTGGGCATCTGCTGTTCATCCAGGTAAAACAGAGAAACAGCAAGACATCCAAAAAGTTTAAATATTTCAAGGAACTTGCTGTTGAACAGGAAAGGGTGTTGCAAATTTAGATGTACACACTTAATCATACAACAATTGGTGCACACGGTCAAGTTACCAGGTATCAGCTGTCCCACAGTAACTGTCTGTGTGGAAGCTCAGCCTGAAGTAAACAAGAAGCAATGCAGCTTAAATAGATCTGCTTCCATTACAGACTAACGCAAGCCAAGCTACCTTGTGTTTGTCGCAGACCATGAACATGGACTTGAAAGTTACTATGTTATATCTGTGAGAGTTTAGGGTGATAGCTTGTCAGTCTTTGGAAACTTGATCACATACCTGATCGTTAAGTCCTTTTTTTTTATTTTTTATTTTTTTTTTATTCTTTTACTTGCTGATGTGCTCATATGGATCTTTCCTGCAAATACTCACTAGAACTCAGGAGGGGATGCTAATTTGGCATAGATCTGTGTACTTAAGCATCTCAAAGATTGAAATTATCTGAATGAGGCAGAGTATCATCTGGCGAGTAAACAAGTTTTTTTATTTGCTGTTATTTTTCTTTATAACATTCATAGCTCAAATACTTTCATGGTGCTTACATGAGCCAGAAACCTATGAAAAAAATACAACATTCAAATGCATTAAACAATTCCAGGACCCTCAGCTTAGTCACAGGAATGTGGAGAATTAAGTAGTTAGACTTGTTTGTGGTACAACTGATTCAGGAGACTGTCATTGTTAGGATATGAGGGTATTTTGAAAGAAGCAAGCAAGCCAGTATAATTTTAGAATACAATCAAACAGGATTACTTCCATGCTTGGATTTATCTGGAAGGCCAAGCAGAAGGAAGATTAGATGCTCGCCAGCCTATTTTACTGGCACAGTTAATTTGTTCATCTTGAGGGCCACATGATGTAGTTCATTCCTGTGCATTTTAAATATCAAATGAAAGTGGCATTTGCATATTAATTCAAATTATTAGACTGAAGGGCAGAAGAGTTCTGAGACATAAATGAAGTATACAAGGAGATGGGCACTTAGTTTACTCCATTCAGAGCTCAGCCAAGAACAGCACCTGTTCCTGAGCTGTAAAGTAAGGAAATAATAGGTGGCTCAGTATTTTTAACTACATATCTATGCTCTACAGTGGATATGCAAGCCCCAGAAGACCCTAAAAGACCCCCAAAAGGTACTAAACTAGTCTCCTGTGGAACTGGAAGCAATATAATTTGGTCAACTAGCATGGGTATTTCTAGCAGTGCATTGCTTTGCATATTGTTGCAATTTCCTCAGGCCAATCCATTAAGATTCCTGTCCTTTTTGAATTGAAAATTATGCTAATTAGTCAAGCCCTTTCTCCTGTGTGCTACCCAGGGTGCTCAACTGAAGCAAAAAAACCCCAACCTAACAGAGAGGGAGGAGCCTGCTTCAGTTCCCTTCTCCTTGAGGTGCCTCGAGAGACCAAGAAGTAGGCTAGACTGGGGGAGGGTAATGCACTTGATTTTCATGAAATCCTTAGCAAATGCTCTGGAGCAAAGCTGATAGAATCGCATGCCAGAGCAATTCAAAACTCCTTCAGAACTGGTGGAGGAGAGGCAGAGTAATGCACTGGGTCTGGAAAAAAGGAATGAAGCAGAAGGTACCTCCTTTTAGCAGTTACCTTTTGCTCTGATTCCTTCTGGGCTGTTAAATTCCTACAGCTGAATGCATCGCTTAAAAAATTTCAACCAATACATACTCTCAGTCAACTCACTGTTAGTTTACACTACACTGAACCAAAGCTACTGTAGCAAACTAAGCTCCTGCCCATTCTGCCAGTCACATGAGCAAGAATCTCAGCTACAGGACAGGAGAACTTTGAGAGCTGCAAGACATTTTTCTTTAAGCCCATGATGCAATAGGATTTTAATCTTCCTTAAAGATTTCTCCGCCTTTGGATATCTACTTCAAAATCAGTGCTGCAAGCTGAACTATTCTGTTTTCCTCTCTACCTACTCTCCACAGAATCAGGTGGATTATGTTTTCTGTCTTGAGAATAGGTATCTCATTGCATTCAGGTTAACATTTATTATTATTAGATCACGTAGTTGGACAGACAAATGTATTCTCACATTCTCACTGAGAATGGAGGAGAGAGGGGAAACAGCACCTGTAGAGAAGATGCATGTAGACCAGCAGCACACAAAAATTAAACATGCCGCTTCTGATATCAAAGGCAACTGAACTACAATATTTGGTCATGTATACTTTAGAATAGAAATATTCGCTGAAAAATTACAGGAAACTCACAGAAATGGAAGAAGAACAAAAGTAGTCTGGGTAGAAAAAGAGTAGATTTGCCAAGAAAAGTGAAGACGTGCCCAAGAGGCACGACTAAGTCACTCTAAAGCCTGCTATAAACAGTGCTGTATAGCTCTGCCTTCCAGGTTCATCATTGAACAGCAATGTAGAGAAATGATACTGAAAAAGTTAGGGTAATGTTTAGTAGTGAGAGCTGATCCTTGAATGCTGCACTGACATAATCCATAATACCTCTGGATCCTATTAGCACAACTGAAGACACCATGTGGTGATGCTCTCACAGTGGTCAGCCCCATAAGAAGGGATTCATCCCCCTCTGGCAGGGGGATCTGAGCTTCCGTTTTCGAGCATGCTAGGAATTTACTTTAGCACAATCAATTATTGTATTCGTTTCTTCTCTCTAAAACATGCATATCTCAATGCAAGTGATGTTACAGAATTATCACTCAAAGCAAAAGCATTGTCTCAATCAAACTTGGCATCTATGGAAAGAATATCATAAGCAGAGACAACAAATGTTTAGCACTAAATCACCTAAGAAATCCATACAGTCTATGAACATAACTGACAAAAAAAAAAAAAGGAAAAATAGCTATTGACCATTTGAAAGTTGATGTACAAAGAAGTAGCAACAGTTTTTGTTGTTCTTCAAGAAAAAAAAAAAAGTGTATAAAGGTGTGTACATGAGGCAAGAGGGGTATTCTCTCCATCACCTTGCTCTTTGGGAGGTTTCTAAAATAGTCCAGAGCTATGGTAGACCTAAGTGTAAATGCACAGAAGATAATTAACTTGAAGGAAAAAAGGAACAAACCATGATTTTTTTGACAGTCCAGCCGCTGGATCCACGTAATCCCAAATATTCTGCAGTCTGCATTGTCACTGTGACCACGCAGGCCTAGTTGGCCCTGTTCCACAAACACATCTGAACTCAGCTAGTTACCAGGCAGTACTAGCGAGCAACACTTCCCGCACTCCCGAGAGACGCATGCGTTCAGCTTTTTAAGTTTTCCATTTCATTACTCAGACTCCTAGAAAATTTAGCACCAAACTGTATTGCAAGCACAAAGCTTTTAAGCTGTTGTTTGGAGAGCATAAAGTCACACACTAAGTGTTTTCTGTGGAAATCTGGAAAGCCACAAGATTCCAAGATTGACTTTGTGGGTAAGAGGAGAGCTGGAACGCCTTTGCTTGATCTCTGCGAGGACTGACATGGAGATACATATAGTGACAACCTTCTTCTGTACAAGTCTTTGCCTGGACCAACACTTTGAAATAAGACTGGTTAAAATCTGCCCATGGGTAAATCATGCACACATGTAATCTGTATCTTAGGATTTATAACTCTTAGCACAAGATAAAACATGGCTCTTATGAACTAACAGGTGAAAAGTTACTTCCCTGAGGGCTACAACAGGAGCGACTCTGACCACACAAAAAGTTTTGAGGTTATCCAGTGACAGAAGCACGCATCTCCCAAAGTTGTTGTTGCTGTCTGGCTAACAGAGCACATCACATGCGATCCCTGTAATATTATTTTCTTCTCAACTCTGCAAGCCTATCCTCGACGCGTATGAAACCTTATGCTAAGAATTATTTGGACTTTCATTTTAAGTTTGCAGGAAAGCACAGAATCTCCTCGTAGGACAAATGAGCGAAGTGAATGCCAACAAACTGTAAAGCAAGATTACAGGGAGCCATCTGTTCAGACGCTGCGCCTGTTGAGAAGTCTCATCTCACACAGACTGTTGGTCTGACACGGGCCAGAGTCTACACGTAACAGGTATAAACCACTCTCTCCTTGCATTCCTAATTCACGCTTCCAAAACTTCAAGCAAAACCTAAGTTTCCTTTGTGTCCCCAGTCCAAGGTTCAGTTGGAAACGCACAAATCCTTGATAAGCCGTACCAGAAACCTTTACAAACTCTCTGGAAGGAGAAGGTGGCTAGCTGCACATCACAAGCCGTGTGACA